CAGCTCAGGCCGCTGGGCCAGCAGCTGCTCCTGCCACAGGAGACCCGGTTGGTGTCGTCTGCGGGGAGCAGGGGGTGATGCCCACATGGGCCATGGCAGAGCTGGGGTGCTGCAGGTGTCCCACGGGTGCCCGGGCTGCTGACCCAGCTCAGCGCCCAGCCCAGGGGAGGACACAGGCAGCATGTGGGGGGCAGATAAGAGGCAGTGGCCCTGGGGGTGGCCTGCGGGCCGGGACCGCTCAAATATTTGTGCAGGGCCATGACCGGGGAGGAGCAGTGCCTGGCCAGAGGTGCAGCAGGCCCTGAAGCGGCAGCACCATGGCAGTTCCCGTCCCCCTGGTCCCAGGCAGGGGCACCCACCTGGTGCTGCTCCTGTCCATCTTCCTGCTGCTGACCAGCTCCATCCAGGTGGGTCCAGTGGGGACCTGGGGCCACCTCGGAGCAGCTGGGGTGTCCCCGGGTGACCGGCAGTGTGGCAGGGCCATGGCAGGGCACGTCTCCTTTCCCCTGCATGGAGCTGGGCACGGGAGAGCTCAGCACCTCCTTCTCATCTCCATCTCTAGGGGGCACAGGGAGGGCAGGAGCTCCGGGTGCTCTCCGGGACGGGCACGGGGTGCGTGGCCGGACACCCAGCCCGCCGAGTGGCCCGCATGACGCCCTTCTGGAGGATGATGGGCAGCAAGCCGCCGGGTGCCCACTGTCGGCACAGCCTCGAGTGCATCACCAAGGCCTGCAGGTGAGCGGGGACCCCAGTGTCCCCAGTCCCAGGACCCCACATGAACCCCAGCCCTCCCAGCGCCCCCAGCCCCAGTACCCTGCACGACCCAACCCCACCCATGCCCTCAGTTTGGGACCTCTCCATCCCACCCTCCACGTCCCCAGCCCTTGCACCCCATGTGTAACCCAGCCTCAGCAATGCCACCAGTCAGGGTCCCTCTCCCATCTCACTCCATCCTGGTGCTCCCAGCCCAGGGGTGCCCCAGGGTCCCCAGGCCCAGGCGACGCTGGCATGAGGACCCCTGGCCACTCTGTCTTGCAGGGCCGGACGATGCTCCTTGCCACGGTATGAGTGCTGATGGCCACGGCCGTCCTGGGAACAGCAACCTCTCCTGCAGCAGGACCACAGAACAACGGACACCCCACGGACAGCTGGACATGCCGGACTCCAGAGAAGCCCCGCAGCAATGCTGTGCTGGCTGCAGGTGGCCCTGCAGGGGACAAGAGCTGGATGGGATGGTCCTCTGGACAATAAAAACTCTCTGCACGATGGCAACTTTTATGGGGCCTCTGCTTCCGTCTGGGAGCAGCAGGGCTCCTGTCGGCCAGACCCCGCGCAGGGGCAAGAAGTGGTTCCCTCTGCGAGCTGCTCCTTGCACCGCCAGCAAGGGAGGGGACACGAACTCCCTTGAGCAGCAACAGGAGTAGGAATCCAAGTCCCCTGTGCCAGAGGTGCCTGCTCGGCACAGTGCCAGGGGCAGGGGCAGCACCCCGCATATGTGGGCATGTACCCGTTTAGTGGATGTGTGTGTCTCTGTGTGTGCTTACAGACATGTATGTATGCGTAGGTCTCTACATGGGTACACATGTGTGGATGCATGTACGCGTGTGTACAGGCGCATGCCTAAAATGCACGTGCACCCCGCATATGTGGGCATGTACCCGTTTAGTGGATGTGTGTGTATCTGTGTGTGCTTACACACATGTATGTATGCATGTGTGTAAGCGTTAGGTCTCTACATGGGTACACGTGTGTGGATGCATGTACGCGTATGTACAGGCGCATGCCTAAAATGCACGTGCCCTTGCGTGCGTGCTCACACGCGTGTGTGTGCAAAGGGGGGCACACGTGGGTGTGCTCACATGCATGTGCACGTGTGCCTGTGCACGCGTGTGCACGCATGTGTGCATGCTTGTGCCTGTGCGCGTGCACGCACGCGTGTGCAGGTACGCACGTGCACGCGCACACAGCTGCCCACGTCCGCGCGTGCACGTCTGCGCGCGGGTGCTCGCGCAGGTCCACGTGCACGCGCGTGCACGTCTGAAGCGGCCG